TATATATAAGATGCTCACAACGTGACGAGGCAGTAATGAGTAATTGAACTGCAGTCAGAAAGTATTGTTGAAGTTGAGCACGTGAGACGTTCGTTGTTATAGCGTTTGTTATAGCGCTACTGTTGAAATTAAGTGTATCACAAAGTTATATTCAGAAAGAATAAACTAGTTTTATTTAAGAAAGGACTTGTGTCGCTAAAGTTTCGTCGGAACGAAGTTACGGAAAATTAATTAACGAACGGAGACGTAACAATACTGTTGTCTCAGACAAGAATCTATTATTTACGATGGAACTTACCAATAAATAAATAGGTACAATTTGACATTGTTGTGGTCTATGAATAGAACATGCATTTCTACCTTTTTGTATTATTATAGCAATTATTCTGAACTTATTCTTTGTTCTGTATATTTGCAAGTTTCACATAACACATGATCGAGAGAGTCTTTAAGCTTATTTCTAAAGTTACCTTTGTTCCTTTGTTGTTCTTAAAAATGGGTAAAACTGGTTTCTTCCCAGGGAGGATATTGACAGCTTTGACCTTCTATGGTTGCTTAGGTGATACCTAGAGGTTAAGGTCCCATCTGTGTTGTAAAAAGAATTACTAGTCACATACTTAGCACATATCACTTTGGGTAAATGATGGGGTTTCTCACCTACTAAGGAACGTCTAGAACACCATTTAGTATAGTCTGGTATAACTTGGTCTTCAGTTGACAGTCTGTCTGGAACACCATTTAGTCTAGTCTAGTGTAACTTGGTCTTCAGTTGTCAGTCTGGTCTGACCATTTAGTATAGTCTAATGTAACTTGGTCTTCAGTTGTCAGTCTGGTCTGGAACACCGTTTAGTATAGTGTAGTGTAACTTGGTGTTCAGTTGACAGTCTGGTCTGGAACACCATTTAGTCTAGTCTAGTGTAACTTGGTCTTCAGTTGTCAGTCTGGTCTGACCATTTAGTATAGTCTAGTGTAACTTGGTCTTCAGTTGTCAGTCTGGTCTGGAACACCATTTAGTCTAGTCTAGTGTAACTTAGTCTTCAGTAGTCAGTCTGGTCTGGAACACCATTTAGTATAGTCTAGTGTAACTTGGTCTTCAGTTGACAGTCTGGTCTGGAACACCATTTAGTCTAGTCTAGTGTAACTTGGTCTTCAGTTGTCAGTCTGGTCTGACCATTTAGTATAGTCTAGTGTAACTTGGTCTTCAGTTGTCAGTCTGGTCTGGAACACCATTTAGTTTAGTCTAGTGTAACTTGGTCTTCAGTTGTCAGTCTAGTCTGGAACACCATTTACTATAGTGTAGTGTAACTTGGTCTTCAGTTGTCAGTCTGGTCTGGAACACCATTTGGTAT